TTAGTTTATATTAGGTTGACTCAGTTTGATCTGTTTATTCTGGTCCAAGTTTGTTTTGGTGCCATGACAGATGCCTTACAGACGGTTCAGTCATGACTGAGATAATGAGAAGGAAGAATTCCTCCTTGGAATCTAGTATAGAGGCTGAAATCAAATAAAAGATCAGGAAAATTTATCTACGGATACATCAAAATATTAATTGTACATCACTTTTTTATCTAATAGAAACATCTAATGTGACAAAGCCTTACTTACTAGATGAAATTCACGTTATCATTTATTGCCTATTATCGATATCATAATTTATTAGTAACACCTCCCATTTGATACTAAGTAAACAACACTTGTGCTCATCAAAAATACGAGAAATTTTAGTTTTCCTTATCTAACTGTTGAAGATATTGAAACCTTGGAGTACTACACAGTTGTTTCATCCTAGTTTGGGACTCTTCATCAGTACGCATCAAACGGGTTTCGAATCTAGGGCCTTCAGGTTACAAGGTGAGCTAGTAGACCATTAAGCACTGGACCCGTTTCAATGGTCCATGAATTCCAACTTCTGCAAATTGATGATACGACACGATGACTGGCGAATGTTACTGGCGAGTATTTTTCCTCCAACCGACAGGGTGGATGCAAACTAGGACGAAACAGCTGTCCATTACTGACAGTTTTTCCCGTAGTTCTCTAATCTGTGTTATTTCATGATGGAATCCTGAAAGCAATTAGATCCCTGCAAACCAACACTTTAGATATTAAAAGTTTCTAACTACTCAAGCTTATATATTCTAGCAGCTGGAAGAATCACAGCAAAACTAGGAGTTATTTCTTTTTAATGAGTCCTTGACCATTTGAATAATGCCTCTATTCTAATAACTTATTGTAGACTGTATTCAACCGGCTACTAATTGAAAGGTAGATTCATTCTTTTAGAGAATGCTTCATTCTCAACTTACTATGTATTGTTTTAATCGCCTACCATTTTCCTCAACGAATAGCACAAATCTATTCCTCATACTTATACCTATAGGTCTCACCTAAACTACTTTTGGTGATATTGGTTTCATGGAGTTTGTGGAGAAGCATTCAGGTTATCCATTTCCAGCTAGGACCTTTTTAGAATGCTGAGTTCATCCTCAGTAGTGTCGTGAGAACAAATCTTGTGGATTTTGCGAATTATTGAGCCAGTCAGATTCCATTTTTATTTAGAGGCACTTCACTGTAGAAGTTCGTGAATTTTCCATTCTATGTAGGTAGTAACAACCGGAATACCTTAAAATAAAATTGTGACATATAACTTAGGTAAACAGATTAAATGATTACTTAAACTGATATGAGGACTACAGTTTTTGGGTAATCCAACGAAGCAGAATAAAACCTTCAGATAATTTCTACTTATCAATATTCCTTTTTTCTTTATGGTTGTTAGGTATGACTGAGGGATTATTTTATATAATGGACAACAAATTCCATATTAAGTCACAAGGCAGAGATATAACAGTGAAGGAAACTTTTCTTTTTGAAAATTTGTTTTCGAAAGATATAAAGGCCTATTTGTATTTTAACCATTTTCTACTATTTATATTTAACACAAAACTCATAAAATCAATAAAATACTGGTAATTATGTTCCAGAAAATATTTTACATGTGGGGGAATGCACAAGTGGGGATTAAGAGACAGAAGCGGGTCCACTGTATTCCCTTTCAGTGGTTGACCGGCCAACGGGATCACCTTGTAATCTGAAGGTCCTCGGTTCGATCCATGGTGGAATCATGGATGAGTGCTCCCGAGAAGTTTCAAAAAGCGGATGAAACAGATGTCCAGTGCTGACTAGATCTCAGTGATTTTCTAATTTATGTGAGTTCATGGAGTTACATTATCAATATAAATGTATAAAATTCACCAGTACTTTTGATTTTATGAATTCTCTAATAAATATGAGTAAGTGGTATAATTATTTGCAATAGTAGTATTAGTATTTCAAGATGACCGGATTCCAAGAATTCAACCAAAACAGAGAGAAGGATGAATTTTGGAATTTTGTATTTGGCGGAATTCTTATTCAATTCATATATGAAATATATTAACAATCAACAGTAAGTATTTAAACAATACAGAGATAGAAATTGTTAATCACCACATCCGCCACACCTCGAATATCTCCTTGCGTATTTATAGTGATGTCTCGGTTTGCTTGCAAGTAGCTTCGACCTAACTGATTCTGTGATATTATTTTCATCAGTATCATCTGGACTTATTTGTGAATTATCTACAAAATCAGGATTATTAGCGGAATCAATAATATTATAATTGGAACGACCTACTTCATTTATTGTCACTTTGTCCAGGTGTCCGTTATGAACTGAGTGATCTTTGATGTCGAATATCTTCACCACTCGATTTCCCATTTTTTGTAGTATAATTCCAACAGAAGGTCTATAGACATTTCCTCTGTAATAATGTCCATTAGAAGTCGTGGACATCAGATGCTTTCTGAGAATTCGAGATATGAATAGTTTTGTAGGACTTTCATTGGTACTTGTATGCTCTGTATTCGACAGACGCAATCTATGCATATGTAGCAATTCCTCAATTTTAATCAGTTGCTCTCTAATCTCATTCAGGTTTTTTCGTGTTTTCGACAGTTCACATTGTAACTCGGCTACCTCATGTTTGAAAACACGTGATACAGTTGACACTTGAGTTGCCGAACTTGTAGTGGAGGTTTTCATTGAATGAGATTGTGTATTTTGAAAAGTTGAAAGACACATTGACTCCATTTTACTAGACAGATTGCGAGAATTATAAGAATGTTGAGCAACATAAGTATTCGAACTTCTGCAAACCGTCTTGATATGTCCAACTTTACCATATTAATGATACTTAGCACCCCGAAAACGGCAAATGCTTCGTAGATATAACTTTCCACAGGATAAACACGGTTTCATGTTTTTGATCTCTCGCTGCATTCTGTTACCTGTGGACGGCAGTTTGGATTTCTTTCCATGAACACTTGTATTTTCGACTTTGGACAACATGACATCAGGCACTGACGTAGTGGGAGCAGAGTATTCATTATTGTCATCTTCATATGTAATACATAAATTTTTAGCAGTTTGAAAAGTACAAGAATGAATCTGAATTAACTCTTTCTCTAACTTAGGAATATTGATTCCAGCAATTAGACGATCACGTAGTTGAGTACGCAGCTGATCTCCAAAGTTACACTTTGAAGCTTGTATTTGGAGTTGCAGAATAAAGTCTCTAATCTTCTGGTTGGGAGCACGAACCAGTTTATTGAACTGAGCCCTCTCTCGCGTCTCAAAAGTAGTTATATGGAAGTGATCAATAAGAAGTTCACGGAGCTTAGCATATGGCAGAGAAATGGGTTTATCTGGAACCGACAGAGTCTTCATTAAATCATACGCATCTAGCCCAATAGCAGTAATGAAATGAGCTGAAATTTTGTCATCCCGAACATTCTTCGACATGCACCATGCGTCGATGCATTCAAGATAATCAGTGATTTCCCGAGGTGAACCATTTATAAGAAACTTTCCAAGGTTATTTAGTTTCATAGCGACGCCAAATTGTTGTGATTATTTGTAATGATAGTATTAGTACTTCAAGTTGACCGGATCACAAGAATTCAACCAAAACACAGAAAGGGATGAATTTAGGAATTTGTATTTGGCGGAATTATTATTCAGTTCATATATGAAATATATTAACAATCAACAGTAAGTATTTAGACAATACAGAGATAGAAATTGTCAATCATCACAGTAAGGTTGTACGGTTTTTGAAAACGGTTCATCAAAGGTTATACTTTCGTCTAGGTTAAGTGTTCATTTTTTCATTTCATTAGTAATCTGAATACATTAATTATAATATCAGGGAAACATTTATCGTACTATTTATTGGAAATGTTTCTAAAAAATAACATGTAGAATAATAAAACTGTTATGAATAAATATCTCACACAAAACATCACATTCGTTTTATTGAGTAATATGCAGACCAATTATTCCAACAGCTAAAGAAGACAAGATCAAACCATCTACAAAATTAATAACATGAGTTGTGATAAGCACTGTATTGCTCAAAATGGGCTTACCCTTCAACTCCAAGTCCAAGAACATATTCCATCTGTCGAATGACACGGCATGTACTGTCTAATGTAGATGCATATAGACAAGTATGGACACTAATTTAACTGGGAAAATAAAGAGATTTTAAACAGTGGATAAATCAAATATACCGAAGAATTCCTAGAAGTCTGTTGCTCAGATGAATAAGCAATTAGCAGACAAATTATAGACCAAATTTATCAACCAATAAAGAACACGATAAATGACAAAATCATCGAACTCCAAGTAGTTATAAGATAACAATACTGGTGTGAATTAACAACCAATCACAACAAAGGCTGTCAGGAGATACATTTATATCACTCATGGCGAATTCAATTAGTTTCACTACATATTAAAGTCTGTACTATATATGTTATCTAAAAAGGCAATTAAAACTTCAGAATTAAATCACCTAGTTCATATAACGTAAACACATCAAAATGTGGGGACCAGTTTTTGATGGGTCCACTAATCTCCATAGAATGGATTTAAAGTGATGTTACCAGCTAAATTCAACTAAATTATGATTAAATTCCCTGATGCTGAGTAGCAGTGGAATCAGGGATTCACAACTCCTGTCAAATGTAAACCATTATGAATATTTATTGTCAACCAATAAAATTGAATAGATTCTTATGATCAGCTTTCTATCATTAAGGGTATAGGCAGCTAATCAACCAATACAAAGGTTTAATATGCTAAGCGTGTCCTAAAAGATGTAATTACCTGATTATATATATTGAATATATATATATATATATATATATATATATATATATATATATATATATATATAATCACCTAACCAACTACATGTCCTCTTTTTGATTGAATAAGGCCTATCGACTAGTCAACAGTGAATACAGTTAAAATAGCTATACTAATAGTAGTTATAGCGAATCTTAGTGACGACTTATTTTAGTAAAAATTGACTTGTCTGTATATCTATCTATAATCAAAAGTACAAAAATAATTAAGTGGATATATGTTGTAAACTTGTGTAGTATATATCAAATCCATTGATTTTAGTTAATAAGCTGTGTTTACAATATTTTTCAAACCTTAACCAAAGTATCAATTTATTTGAATATTTACACCTAATTAGAAGAATTATTATTATCAAATGAAATTAATTCCATGGATGTTATTCACGTTGACTTGCGTACCTACAAGTGTCGTTGGATTTCCAGCTAATATTCCAGCAGACTTTTCCAGTAAGTAGAAATATTGCTTTTTTCCCTACAGTATCATAAAATCAAAATTGTTAAACTGTTAGCCTGGTTCAAACCATGTTATCCTATAAGACCAACATTTAATTTTAGAAATACCCCGTGCTTATAGCTTATCTAAACACTTAGTATCAATATTATGTCCCATCAGAAATCATTCCTATTCTAAATCTAACATATCCATATGAAAAGAAACAGAATTTAAATGACATTCAAATAGGAAATAATGAAAACAATGCTTAGTTTTGATATAACTAGTCCTCATACTAATATACTAGTCAATATATCTTAGGAAGCAGTTGGAAATGAACGCACTCTAATATATATTAAGAATTTAATTCATATCATCCATTGTCTGTAACGGAAGGCTTAGTTCAGCGTCTGACAGTATGAGTGAAAATCCTGTGTTACACACAAAAGCCTAAATAATGAAACAAAACAGAAAGGAGAACCATCGGCTCAAAATAAATATCTTATAAAATTCATTAGGAACACCAAGAAAGCTCACAATAAAAGAACAATCAGTAGGGAAACTATTATTCCTGACATAAATTATAACTAATTTAAGGTGTCTTAAGTTTTACCACATATGGAAGGAACATCTGAAACAATATTTCGGATCCCTATTGAGGCAGGAATTAGGCTTATGCTTAAACCTACAAATCCAGTCGGAGAAAAGCTCAATGAGCTAAAAGACCCCAGTGACACAATTAGGTAAAAGATTTAATCTAAAAAAATCTCTCAATGACTATAGGATAGACTTCATAAGTAACACCAGGAGATCGGGGTAATCAGATCATCGGAACACAAGAATTTAGTTCAGAGTCACTGGGCCCACAAAGATGAATAGTTTAGGGAAAAACTCAATCATCACAATACATACATTAACATATAATCACACAATAAGATAAGAAAGGGTTACAACTGAAAGGTAACAAAGATAGGCGGAGGGAGAGGATGAAAGCTGAATCTGCTCATCGAATCTACATCTAGCATGTGCATTAGAAATGAGCCAACCACTTTATGGAAAATATTGGTATCAATAAAATTAAAAGGTAAGAATTAATGAAATTATACAAACAAATTTCCGAAGTTGTGTGTCTTGGTTTAATTCTGAACAATAAATTATGCTTGAAACGTCATCAGTAAATAAGACTATCACTCACTATATGTGCAAATGAAATAAAATTATTCTATGATGGAATTATACTGTACCACAGTGCCCAAATTCTATTTTTATATCGGTAAGTCAAGTGGGGGCTTTGCTTCGATGACCTAAAGTTATTGGAGTGAAAGCAGTGTATAGTGAAGACACCATACAATATATTATCATATAATTAACCTTGATGACCGATCTACCAAAATGTTATCACCTATACTTATTTCCATTCGGTTACAGATTTATCTATTAGATTGCCTACAAATTTGTGATTAAATCTGGAGTGATAAAATTAAACAGACGAAACCATTAATTATTTTTAAGTAGATAAAAAATGAATGAAACTCGAGGGGACTTCTTCATAAGACGAGATTAGCATGAGACTTTTAGGAGTTGCACATTCATAAGCCCACCAGGGCTGGAATCCGGGATCTTCATCTTATGGCACTAGCTTATTGACCATTGAGCCAACAGACTGGAATCCAATAGGCCGTTAATTCAAACTTCTGCCAAATTGGCAATGTTGTCGAGTAACATCCAGTTTACTCTGACGTCCTTGACCCTATCAGCGAAGAATTCTTATCTGAACTTCAGGACATGCTCACATTCACTGTTTCTCCAAATGAAGTCAGATAGTGATGACATCTACATTGGAATTAATCAAAATTCCTACAAAATGCGAATTCTCAAAAAAGCTAATCCCACAAGAGGAAACAACTGAAATGCTGGACCTAAACATTAACTAAAGGACAGTCACTAATTCAATATGACCTTCTGAAACTCACTTGACACTAGACAAATTTAATGCAGTATTCAGTTTTTCGACAAGAAAGTATTTCTATGGTGTAAATCATTATTAGATTATTATTCCCTTGTGTTCTAGGTGGAACATAGGGTTTCAGTTGTGAATCCCTATTTCAATCTGTTTTATGCAGACCTTGGTAACTGGCTTCACATTTGTCTATAAGCTTTCGTTTCTGTTACAGATGATCTCTTCCATGTCACCTGCGGGTAGCTAACGTGCTACCTACCCATTCGCGTTCTACTCGGGGAGCAAATGAAGGCTCAGACTACCGTTTAATACAAGTAGCCCTCAAGGTCAATGGTCGCCATCAAAAGCGTTTACTAGTGATGGATATCGAATAGCAAGATAGGATAAGCAACAAAGAACTCTGGTAACCGCCCAGCTAGATCTTAATTGCCCAACAAATATAAAGAAATAAATGGCGATTGATTAGACCCGCGCTGAGGAGACCTGACTAACTGACCAACTGGTTTCAACATAGAAATTTAAACCAATGTGCAGCAGTTTGAGTCACCACACTCCATACAACACTCAAGGCAAGAGAATAAAGTAAAAAAGGAATGCAAAATAGAGACAGTAAACAGAGATATGAGACAAAAAGGATAGTAATATCAAAGAACAGCATATTTTTATTGGATACCATAAGTCACAAGGAGTGAATGCATCTGCTCCATTGAGAACGATTTTGAGCCGTATCACCGATTGTTTCGAGTCACTGGTTTTTACCGTCCCGAGAACCCCAACCAGGAACTCCACACCTCCCTAAGTGGCTGGCTTAAACTAACTGTTATGGATTTCATTGACTGATGAGACCATGTTTTGGTTTGACCACAACTGGCTCTTTTCCAACCTGATCAATCCTATGTTAGCTAACGTTCCCCATCGTGGAAGGCGATCGATTGCTAGGCATTCTTGCGCAACACTTGTCCTAACCATATCAATCTATGTAGCTTTACAGCTTCGTCTATTGATTTCCTCTGCATACCTATCACTCGTCGCCTAACCTTGATTTTGCTCATTCTTTTATACCACTTCACACGGGAGATAGAACGCAGGCACCTATGATCAAAGACAGCTAGTCTTTTGATGTCCCCCACTCTCAATGGCCAGGTCTCATAGCCAGAAAGGAGGACGGAGTGGACTGCTGAGCAGTATACACGTCCTTCGGTCGATAGTCAGATATCACGTCTATACCAGGGAAGACTTAAAATGGCATATGCGTAAAGAGCCTTCTATATCCGTGCTGAGATTTCGTCAGCTATCAACCCGTTGACACTGTCTGATGCAACTTCCCAAATAAATGAAGTGGTCAACACGCTGAGGAGACCACCGAGTAACAGCGAAATGTGTTTATTGTGGTTATTATTTATTCATGTTTTTATGCATAGTACTACAACCTCATATATCTCGTTCATGAATTATTTGGTCCACACTAAGTAGTGTGGTAGCCATTCCACAAAATATCATATAATCTAAATGATCAGATTTAGAAGTCAATGAAACATTGGCAGAATAACTTCATTATGGATAAGATTTTATTTTGATAAATCACACGCTGTTGTACAGTAATATTTACTGATGACGTTTCAAGTGCAATTTATTGCCACTCCTAATCATCTCAAGGTCCACACACAACTTTCTTGCTTCATTTATATACATGAGTAAAACAAAACTTTTTTATCAATTGGAATAATAGTTCTTATTGAACCTCAGCTTTCTGAAGCTTTATCTCTCACTACGTTTTCATGTCATTTATGCTTCACTCAGCCTCACGAACAAGATTCAAATTTTAGCACTAATGTCAGTTCAGTGCTTTTGTAACAACAGAAGACAAAGGCCGGCAACAGATCATTTTATTACGGAAATCAGCACGTATTTATATATATTTCATGAGCATTATTATAGCTTATTCAAGTAGGCAAACGCAGTCTTCTGATTGGTTGTTTTCGAATTTCTCGGAAAGTGGAGCCATCTATCTGCGAATCGTATTTGCCCACATTTAAGTCTGCTGTGACTGGTTGTTGAATCAGCCTTGTTCATATTTTCTCACGGCCAATATTAGTAACCTAGACATTGACGTAGATTAATGTCTACCAATTGGCTAGCAGCCTGCTCTCACCACATTTTGATATGATTCAGAGAAGCATTTACAACGGCCAACTGTAGACCTGCATTGATATCTTATGGTGAATCGTGGAACCTTTTAAAACGAACTGGGGAGAACACAATGAGATAGAAGTTTGGTGTTGGAGTCCTATGTCCCTCTTGGATTCTAAAGGAATAACAAAAAATATGCTTGAAACTTATTAAAAGGTAACTTAAGTAAAATCTCACTTTTAAAATTGTGTATACCATTTGAAATGAAGGCTTACCATAAATTAACGACCACCTTCTCTCCTTCTGATTGAGAATGACAGCAGAAGGTGTAGCCTCCCAGATAGTGTGATAATAAACGATTAGTTAACCAATATTTATTTACATGACAGCTTGGTATTACTCGTAATGATTTACAGTGAAATGATGACCTTGTCGGCGGCTGTATCTATCACGTCAGTTGATAGATAGACGGATTAGTAATTCACTGGTAGCCAGTTAGAATCCTAACTCGATCTGGATATTTATTCTACCTCCTAATATTACCTATTACATCAATGGCTATTTACCCACTCTAGGCTATCTTCTACAGTCCTACAATCTCCCCCTCTCTCTCCATATATATATATATATATTATGCCAGAAATAATTTCTATTATTTGTTAACTAGATGATATTCTTTCTTAATTTGATATTTTGTTTAGGAAATCTACTACTAAGACAACTCTTAAACTTTCAACTTCCAAAAGATTCTAGTTTTGAGTCAATTAGCAGTTTGTCTGCTACCTCATGGAATCCAACCTGGTCAGCTTTATTCTGGACGTCATGGTCAAAATGGGAGTTGTGTACACCGGATAAACAGTGTACAATTGATGGTGATGATAAATTAACTGATACAGAAAATTTTATATATCGTACAAGAATATGTCAATTTCAGTCGATGAATGAACATTTACTATACTCACACAAATTAATCAAAGGTATAAGTCTACCAAATGGTATGGTTCCATGCTCAAAGGAAGGTTTAGCTGAAAGATATATTAAAAAATGTCCTGACTTAAGCCAGTGTATTAATGAAGGTAATAATGTTCAGCTTTATGCTTACTACAATTTGTGTGTTTGACTGAATAATAATATTCTATGACAGAAGTTGAATTGATAATTTCAGATCCCTTTCGAGTAATAAGATTTTCTTTCATTGGACACTAGTTAGTAACCAGTATTATGTGTCTAGTCCTTTGTTTAGTGTAGACTGAATTCTATCAGGACAGACATGAGTTCCTTCAAAATTGCAGATATATCTGACTGACGTGTGACAACAAGCACGAAACCTAGGTCCAAGTCTTCCTGCAACCATCTACAGTGACTAGTGTGAATTATGCGTAAAATACAATTCATATACATAATAGTCAAACCACTGATAACAACTCTTCTTTCTTTTCTCATATTCTAGTAAAGTTTTAAAGATATTTGAAATCAAAATAAATCATTCCCATAGGATGCCTTTCATTGTAAACTCAATGAAATTTAGACAGTTCATTGTAGAATAAGGGTTCAATACAAAATAGATGAACTATGTCCATGAATTCGAATGTCCAGCGCAGTTTCAACTCCTAAACTTCAAATGACTCAGTGAACAGAATAATATTGACGTTTGTTTGAGGAACAATGCTGATTACTATAGAATTGAATATTTTGATTATTAGTATTACAATTATGGGAGGAATAAGGTCCCAGCAGCATATCCTGACTGGACTAGATCCTCTGTTACAAATTTTAAATGGTTGCACGACTACTTACAAGCTTTTATTTCTTGTTCACGTAATCTCCTCTTTTTCACAGTCGGAAGCCCATCCCGTTGCTTCCTACTTCGGTTCCACCCGACAGAATGGTGTTTAATGTCACTTAGTTGCTAAGTGTCACCAATCAGTTTCCATTTCCTCCTGCAAATCTTCGGGTAGGCAATAAGTTCTTGGCCGGTTCACCAGCAGATTTACTTGTTGGTTATCTCTTCTCGCAGGGCATCTGATCTTTGAAATGAATGGAAAGCAGTTGTAAATGGAAGTCTGCTGCAGGCTGCTGGAAATGCTCTAATAAAAAAGTGTTTTGTAATTATGTAATCTGATTTATTAACATACTCTTTCTAGTTAAAGTTTGTTTCTATCCAGAACTTTTTTAACTCTTCTTTTCAAGAATATTCCTCTAATTATCCGATAAGTAGTCATTACTTTTAACTCTTGGTAGTATAAACACTTACATTATTTCGGCCTTATTTACTGATAGTCCCTATCAGTTACTCTTTGTTATCACGAAAACGTATGCACAAATCTTCTTTTGTAATTCAAATTTTTTATTCTTCACTCTGTGGTCAATTGAGTTGAAACCACGAAATGGTAAAAAATGATCTGATGTTATCCTGTTACATTCGTCTTTCACCCTTTGTTCAAGTTTACTATTGAGAAGAAATATACGAGTTTCTCTAAGAAACTGTTTTGTCTGATGTGTGTTCCAAGCCTCTGAACGATACAGAAGTACTGGCTGTCTTGACATTAGTGCTGAAAATTCAAATGTTCTTCCTTGTACTAAGTGGGTTTAAAACATCTCCACACACCGATATCAGAGCAGTAAACTCCCGCATTTCTTACATGTTTCAATAAACTAGAACAAAAACTTCATTTAATTTCAATGATTTCCTTTTGTATACAAACAATAATTCATTTTGATTGTAATTATATCTAATACCAACTTTGTTTTTTCTTTATTCCAATGCAGATTCACTACAGAGTTTTTCTGTAGAAGAACAACCCAAATCGTCTCTTGAAACACATTCATCCAAATGTGAAGGAGTTGAGTGTGATTCTATGGACAAGACAGAAGTTGTAATTGCTACCGAAAGTAAGTCAGAAAAATTGAATATTTTGCTTGTAGAATGTTGGCATTCAGTTACAGTAAAATATGTATATTGTTGAGGGATATTTCAATACTAATTGACTTCTGCAGTGTAGAGTTAAAGCTGTCAAGTTTTGTTAGTTAGTAACTATCCTCATGTTTGCTAGTCACCTCTTTAGATTCGTAAGGTAGGAAAATCATATTGAAATAGTTCACCGATGAGTTGCGGACTGATACTGAATTCATTTTGTCAGAATTTAACTCATTTTTGATTAAATCCACTAGATTGTGGACCGAAGTACGTGTACCATTTGAGGGGCGGATGCTTGAAGTATCTGTCGTCTCCACAAAAGTTTTATAAGCGTTTGAGAAAAATGTGCTAATCAGATCCAAACATTGTGTACATTTTCTTGTATTCCATCTCAGCGTTTATTTCTAGGAGAGCTAGTCCCTGCCCACCATCTAATAGGTTACTTCTGCTGCTGTCTGCAAGAAGTAGCTAAGTAGATTTGTCTAGTTGCATTACAAGAGATTAAATTTGTTAAATGTTTAAGTCTGAGTTGAAGTTTACTACTTACATTCATTACATTCCTTTAGAAGGTGAATCTTGAACCCAAGTAGCTCAGTGATAACATATATAATAACGGCAATTAGTGACACAGTTTGAATTTCTAAGGAGGAGTCAGATGCGCTTAGGTGCCAAAAAGCATAATAATCAAGCCTGTCAATTTTCTGTATATATATATATATATATATATATATATATATATATATATATATATATATATATATTGAAACAAAGTACTCTTTAATTTATCTTCTAATCAAACACTGTTATTTTCTAAATCATCTGTCATTCGTAATACCAGTAACATTTATTTTATAATTAAGAGGAGCACTGTATGTTCTAGATGTATAAAGTTTTATACTGTTGAGAAACTTTCCATGCAGCTAAAAAGCAATATATTTTGATATGATTCACCAGTATAAATCTCTTATTTATTATTACTGTTCCCTTAGGTTCCGAATGAAATTTAGGGATTCAGCGTCACACTATTGTAATATCCTCTACAGTCGATTCCAACTGGTCACACGATTGACCATAGTCTTTCACCACCTCCTAACACAATCTCGTTCGTGTCAGCCTCGTACCAACGCCCAACCCACCCTATCCCGTTCGTGTTCCTCTTGGGCGTTGGTCTGATGCACGATGTCATTCGACGGTCTCTTCAGTGAATGTCCTGTCCATCCCCACTTCTTGAATAAATGGTTCTTGATTAGTTTGTTTCAAGGGTTTCTTGTTGTTAATTCTTTCTGACTGGCCATTAGATCTTCACTATGGAGCTGGTTAAGGTAGCTTTTAAGAATAGTCGGCGATCTATTGGAAATACTTTCTGTGATCCGCGAAGTTTTTGACTGATATAGAAGCACCGACTGGTTGACTTGACATTGGTGTTGAAAATCCGAATATTTATCTTTATGCTGTGGAGTGCAGAAGATTTCCAAACTGATTTCAGAGTGATTAAGGTGTACCTTGCCTTTTTGGATTCTGATCTCCATCTCATCCTCCGTGCTGTAGTTGAGACGATGCTTCGGACATAAGGAAGGAAGTAACCTGGTTACAATTTATCCCAATGATAGTTATTGTTGCTATTGTCGGTTAGTGATCTGCATAATCTCCGTCTCCTCCATGTTCGTTCAGCTGAAGTCTTGTCTCCCCTGCTACGTCAGCCCAAATGTTGGTTTTTGCCTGCAAATCTTCGAGCTCGAGTGACATTAAACTTAAATCGTCCATGTGCGAACTGCAGATCACCTAGAGTCTTCTTAACGGTGGTCTAGCGTATTCCTGTCTTCTTGCTACCACGCACAGATCGATGCATAATACAGTCAACAGCAATTAGCAATATCATCGGTAAAAATAGTGGGAAGCCAGCCTTGTCTCCTCTTGTCCTCCTGTATTCACTTCAAACACTTCACTGGGTTTTCCATTGTGGATCACCTGACACATGGCATTGTCGTATAATCAGTTGTTGAATGTTGCTGATAAAGATTTGGGCACTGCATAACATAGTGTTGAATAGTTTCCAAATCGTTTCCCGTCAACACTGTCGAAGGCCATTTTCAAATGGATGAAATAGGTGTAGAAATAGATTTGACTTCCCTTCCATGCTCTGTTCGATGGCGATTAGTAGAGTTGTGATTTCATCAGCACATGATTCGCCTTTCCTGAATCCAGTTTGTTCCGTGTGACGGAGTCCTGCATCCAGTGCATCTTTTATTCTCTTTAGTGTGACACGACTTAGTATTTCACTTGGCGTGGACAAGAGGATGATTCAGCTCCAGCTCTTGCAGATGCCTATGTGGTGGTTTCACTAGGTATCCTTTCATCCAACCAGATGATACCTTCCCTTCATTCCCTCCTTTCTTTTTGCGAACCTTTTGCAATAGTGATGTTGGCACATCCACTGCGGTCTCTGGATAGGTTTCCAGTGTTTCAGATGGAATACCGTCTGGTTCTACTGCCTTCCTGACTGCACCACAATATCTCGATTGCATTCAAGGCTTCTGCTTCCGTTGGAGGATTGGTGTCCACTGGCAGTTTTGTGCGTGTTGTTGTTGGTGGTGTGTTTCTGGATTATTCGCAGGCGATAATCGGTTCAGCAGTCGTTTGAAGTGATAGACCCATTGTTTTATTTGTCTCTTCTCTTTGGTAATCAGGTTACCTTAACCATATTTTATTGCCTTCATTTGTGTTGATTTGCTCCCACGTGGACACCTGGTTATCTGATATAATCTTCTGAGGTCTCTTTTACCTGCAGCCAGCCTTTTCAGGTTCAGTTGTCAGCATGTCATAGAAATATCGTTTATCTTTCCTAACGCTCTTCTTCACTTCTTTATTCAGTGCAGTGTTCATTGAACTCAGCTTCTTCTTCTTCTCTTCTCCATCTATTCAGTAGTTCATCTTCTGTTTCACAATCCTCCATTCCTCTTTTCTGTTAGCTTCCAGGTGTCCACTGAGAGCCATTTTTATTTCTTGGCTCATTCTTTCTTCCTAGAACGGTTGTACACGTTTTCTTGAACACCACTTTCAGAGTATCCCAATGTTCTTCCACACAGGTTTCCTCAGTGACGTCAAGTAGTGTCTCCAACGTTTCTCTCATGGCTTCAATAAAGGTGTCTTCCATTGTTTCGCCTCTCAGTTTCTGAGAGTTGAACTTCAATTGTGGCCTGTCTCAATTTGTTTCTCAAGCTTTCAGCTTCACCTTGAAGGTTCCTTGAAGTAGACAGTAGTCTGAGCCCACAGCTGCTCCCCTTCTCGACTTTGTTTCCACCAGACTGCGTTTCCATTCTTTCGGTGTGTCCATCAGATGAAATGCATGTCGTCTAGTGTATATTCTTGTGCTTGTACAGACTGCCTCCAATCACCGAATCATTGAAGGAGAAGAAGTCTGTGAAGAGTTCTCCGTTATCATTCATTTCTCTGAGAGCCACTCGATCCGTGATGAGTTCTCTTTGTGTATTTTCTGCTCCCAGTTTACCTGGCATTCATATGGCCCATAAGGATTTTGACTTCTCCATTTGAGATGTTTTCCATTACTCTTTGCAGTTTGCTACAGAAATCTTCTTTCTTCTCTTGTTCAGAGTTGTTTGTAGACGCTTCGCAGTGCTGTAACCTTCCTTCCTTTTGATTTGTATCTTACTGTCATTACACTTTAGGAGGAAAGTGGTTCCCACTGTACATGAGCTTTGATTATTTTTGGTGACATCATAATGACCAGTCACTCAGTGTGCTCGTGGTTGTCATCTGGGTGACAGGAGTAGATTGTTTATTGTCCAGTTAATAGTTTAGATACTCCACATCCATTCCATCTTCTCTCACGGAAACCTAGCACTTCTACGCCGTATCCTCTCACTTCTTAAGCAACCTGAGCAGCCTTTTTAGCTTCGTACATTGTAGGGACATTCGGCGTCCCAACCTTATTTTTGCTTTCATTGAAGGCGGACACATCGAGTTACTGATTTCCCGAAGGCTTTCACGTTCCTGGTCACTTTCTCTCCGATCCCAGCGAAGAATATGTTTGTTTTTATATTTTTGTTGGACGTCGAAGATACTGCAGCAGATGGATTGACCTTCTGGAGTTCGGTTTGGTAGCTTCGCGATCAAATCTCCCTCTTTTATTTGTTTGGGACCGGCTAGAAAACTCTATGCTTATCAGCTGGTGGTATAAATAAATAAAATAACTTTAATTTATAATCGAACTATACTGCACCGTAATAAAACATATGAATTGGATCTCAAATCAAACCATGTACCGATGGCGTTGGGGTGGTTTGGGATTCATCAATAGTACAGATATATACGCTCACACGGGATAACACTCAGCTTTTGAAGCTACTAGATTTTTTCCTGTTGGCTGAATGGTCAACAAACTTGCTTCATTGACTAGAAATTCTATGTGCGATCCGCCGTGAGGTCATGGATGCATACTGACAAACAGTACCAGAATAGGATGACACAGTTTTCTAGTACTCTATGATTTTCAATGATTCTGTTACTGATGTAAGTTCGTGACGTCACCTAAAATCAGTCGGATTCCTGCCAAACAGCACTTGGAAATGAATTTAAAAAGAAGAAGTTTTGCATTCATTTGTCTTAGTGTTACTGATATAATACTCAGATATAGCGTCAGACTGACAATCAGACAATTTCTCAATGTAGCCAAGATTCTGGCTGAAAACAAAGCTTAGTTCAAGTATCTATTCTGAACAATGTTCTCTGTATTCCAGTCGGAAATAAAATGCAATTAGAAGTTATCGTGATGCTTTTAATTTCCTATAGCAATTTTTAAAGTAATAAACATGTTACTATTAGTACTACTACTACTACTTCTGATTATGATGATTTTTAGTTTTATTTCCGATTTCAGTGTAATTTATACTCAGAAGACGGCCACATTTTTGTCTACTTTCAATGATCTTTCTTCCATGCTACACACCTGTCACTTAGATTTTTCTCTCACACTTACTAAAAGCGGTTACCATGGCATTCAAAAAAATGTCTAATTTTACTACAAGCAATTTATATTCCCACTGTTTCCGCTTATTTTAGAACCGTCAATTATCGGAAGGTTTATTAAACACAATCAGTTTTGGGGACCATGGATAGCTTTACAACACTGTTCAGCAATTATTCCTACAATTGATGAACTTCCAGATGAATATCCTTGGGAATCAATGTTAAATTTTAGTAGAATACAGGCTGGAAAAAGATGTCAGCCAGGATTACAATTACAAATCAGAAATCTACTAAGTGGAACAGATATCACTAGCCATGTTAGTGTGGTTTTTATCAGTTACACTAGTGCTTTTTTCTTTTATTTTAACCCTAACCCAGCAGAGGAACGGTGTTTTAGAACCAGTAAAAAGTCTACTCGGCCTAAATTTAGTACTTTTGTTCTGTGTAGTCCTCAGAATAAAAAGTAATGCTGTCTATTTAGTGATGATTGATGGTGAAATACAAATGTATATCAGTTACTATTTGCTGCGCATCAGTCGAAAGTACTTACACCAAAGTTATTGACGATGTTTCTACTGAGAATCAATAGTAGGACTTGGCATGTCACATAATATATGCCAATAACTATATGTTTTGTCTTTTTTACTTAGAAATAATCTGGTAAATTCAGTTTAATGGGAAAAGAAAAATACTAAAAAAATAAGTAAACTTCATTGCTTTAAACCTCTAGAAAGTGAACTCACTGTGCAGTTTAGTATTATCTTTCTTGGTTATCGTTTTGTACAGAGGTACACTGATTCTGAGAGCCTTCTTAAAACGAAATTATTTGTTCATACTTATGATTCCCTATTAACATGTATTAACTTGACCACTAAGTCTCATTTAGGCATACTAGCTCCTTACCTCAATATTGGCATGGATGATGACTTGTTTGGTTATGGCTGGCAGTGGAATCGTGGATGCTCACTGAGTCCCATTTAATACTCGTTTGCTGAATACACCTGTTCCGCAATTTTTGACAGTGCTCAGTATTCACTGACTCTTATCGACTATTGTGATTTATGTAAATGACTTTAAATCATTCTCCTTGCCCAAAGGGTGGTTCTAGTAGTTTAATATCCTGGTGGATGAAGCTTTGGTATTTGAGGCAATGGTCGTTGGGTTCGAGTCTCAACAGGAACCCTATCAGTGAGTGTGCATACAGGCACATCCAAGTGATGAGTCCTTAAAGGGGGATAAGTAAGTTGTGGTTTCTGCTGCTAGCCATAGCCAAAGGCAAGTAAATTCGATAAACTGTGTCAAATGTGATATTTCACATCTTATTACATACAGTTCAATAAAAAAAATAAAACACAAAATATTTTTACGCAGATTTAAAACGATAGTTCGATCGGTAAATTAAAATTGATTCTGTGGAAGACATTTTGAAATAATGATTAACTTCATGTGAGTAAATTTCAAGCATGATCATTAAAAATCATGCGTAAATGTCTAGACTATTCCCAATTAGTGATAGGCATAAGACTTGGCGCATCACTGAAAGCATTTCCAACCGAATACTGCCAACTTTCTTCAACAGCTCCTATAGCTCGATACTAACTATTAGATAGACGACAGGCAAGAAAAGACAAGCAACAAGTAAATCTGGCAACGAACCACCCAGCGACCAATCAACAACGTATATGCAGGGCGAAATGCAAATGGATCTGACATACGGTGACAAGACGGCTGATTGACACCACGTATTAGGTGGTAGAGTGGGACACAAGTTGGAACTCTAGAGTTACGTATGTGTCCAAAAGTGACACGAAGGAGATCGTGTGGAAATAAGATTAAAACTTATAGATGGTTTTGGAGCCAGTCAAAAAAATGATGTGAACAAAGTGATATAGTTGTGTGCTGCTGAATCCCTTGGTTCCACTAGAAATTGAAGGAAATAAAAATAATAATTACTGATGAACATAAAGACCTCATCAATATATCATTAGTCCTTCCGTCGTTTTCAGTGAAATTAAGATAAATACTTTAATTTAAAATTTCTTAGAACTTTTCGTAGAACTACACTATGTAAAACTGTTACAAAACTGTGAGACATTATTTCTCAATTTATGCAAAGCAGACCCAATGGTATGCACTGTACATTGTGCATAGTACAACCCCCATAAATAACTTAGTACAGCTGAGTGTGGCTAGACTTCGGTCTTCCCCTTGGAAACCTCTCATGCAGCCACGCTTTCACAGGTTCCAACCGATAAGCCCTTATCACCTCCTTTCAGTAGTGGAGATGCTTTCATAAAAATGAAAAGACGAATGTGAATTTTCGGTCGCTTATTACCAGACTGGTAGACATACAAGTCTAATCAGGGTGAGTTGGAAAAATCCAATTCCAAACCAGTGATGTGTTTAGGCTGCAGAATATAAAAGGCGCCACCGGTGTATGAACTAGTTTTAATCAACGACATCAATGGGAATGCGGTTTCTGACTCTTTCCTGCCATTATATTCGTGTTTAAATGGTAGTGATAATAATTAGTATATTTTGGAATTCATTTTCGTATCATCATAATTTGTTAGATAAGAGGTAACATAACATACTTGTTATATGGATCTAGACAGTTGCTTTATTATGGAATACGACTGCCCATATATCTGGAGTCATAAAACTTGATTTTGTGACCTACGGGTTTTGAATAGTACGGTAAGCTGGAATATACTACTGCTGATGCCACCTGACAGACTTGTGTGCTTTTCTTCTTTCCCTTACGAATTACTCTTACAAAAGGATTACTACGAAGTCATCTGAATTCCATAAAGATGACAGCATTTTCTAAATTTATGGAAATTATCAGTGTACAGCACTTTAAACAGCTTTTGTTCTTCTAACATTAAACAAAACAAAACCTATATGTTTGAAATGTTTGTTTTATTCAGCCTCAAATCAGTCAAATGGAAGCGAATTTCTCCCCAGCAGTAGTTAAAATCACACCAACTACTGAAATGCGTAAGATTCACTGTTGGATTAATGAAGCTTGTCCAACATCAGAAGTGAAAGTTGAACCACCAATCACATGTGTTTTTCAAGCTATTTATCGTAGTCCATCTGTACAAGTTAAGTGGCGTCGTACACCATATGGTCGTATACCATCACATTTTGAAGTCCATGTATTAGACTTGATAAATTCTGTTCATTATCAAGAATCTGAACTCCATGTTGAACAAATTAAGTTGAATAAATTAGATCCATGGGGAGAAAATTATATTACTGAAGTATTTGGATTGAAAATTGGTCAACCATATCAGATTAGTATAGGATCTGCTGATGAAGCAGGTAATATATACTTTTCAAAAAATTGTGAAGCAGTTGTTATCATTGGAACTGGTAAGTTGCATATTCCATGGAATTTATTTTGAGTGATAATTCGGGAATTGGTCGGATTGAAACCAGAACTTTCCGAATTACTAGTCCTGCGCTCTACCATCTGAGGTCAGCACCGAACCTGTAATTTGGTGGTTGCTGGTTCAAATCTTGCTGCTACCCAGATTTTCACTTCGCTTTCGGTCACCTATCACCCTAAAACGTAGTCTACTAACCCAAGACTACCTCAGATAGTTTTACCATCAAATAATTATTTTTTTACTTTACAATATCATTGGAAAAACAGAAAAGTATGTGAACATTTTCGACTATTGACTTGTCACTTACATCAGCTCAGTGAGCCTAGTCAGTTCAAATTAACCAAATTATGGAGAACTACTTGGATGGACTGGCTTTAAATAGAATTAAATTCACAGTTTGAAAATTACACAACTTAAGGTGAAATTTATGAGTTCTATCCAGACGTCTGTATCTACCAGTAGTATATACAATCATGAGCTTATGTTTGTTTTCTTGATTACCTTTTGTTATATCAAGCAGACCACATATTGGCATATGAATAATTTCGGTTTCGGAAAGATACGCTGCGGTGAAGTTCCACCTCCAACTGTGATTTTTCAAATTGTGGATTTTATGTAATTTCAAAAAATCAGTTTTTTCAGCTGTCCGTATAAAAGTGGATGTCAAAATTCTAATGTGAGGTTCAGTTTGAAAACTACACTAATTCATTGGATTCAACCTAGTTACTGTCATCCTATGTGAAAAAAAATAGGCATTTATGGACAGGAGCTCTTAGTAAATCACTTAGCCCAAATCAAAACCTTCAGTACACCAATAAAATACAATAATTCACAGTAACAGCTGATTATCGAAATTCTTGGAATGTAAGGAAGCCTACTTCAGTGCAACCCCGACCACGAGAAATGCACCACATTTAATTCCCTGCATTGAAATGATGAGCACAGTGACGGCATTGTTGTAAAGAGAATCGAGAGCTAGGGTTAGAGTCGAATTGCTTACCATTTTCAACATCTAGCCACTTCAATGAGTGACCAACTTTATTTTCAAATTCGTTAAGTCCATCAATCACGTCTCCTTAACCTCCATCACCTGTATATGAATAACAGTGTGACAATTGACTAGTTTGGACTGCATCGGTGCTTCTTACTCAGTATTTTCTCTCAGACTCGTCTTTACAAAAGTATTTCCTTTAGTTTACGGTCTATTTCCCCCTATATATTCATTTACATCAGAAACTATCTGATCATACATAATCTATTGCCTAAATATATTTAAACCATTCTATTTTAAAGGTGATGGTTCATGGTCTAAATGGTCGAATTGGAGCAATTGCAATTCGAAATGCTCGTCAAAGTTAGGCACACGTAGCAGACACAGAAAATGTAATTCACCAGCACCACGAAATGGTGGTCGTATGTGTCCTGGTTCAGATCAGATGCATTTTGAATGTTTTGGAACTGATATTAATTGCTGAGATAACTGCATGACGGTGTTGCTTTTAAATTTAGCTCAATTATTATTTCTACGTTGGAAAGAAGACAGTTGTGCGCTTTAATAAAGTATTAAAATAGCCCACTAGACAATAGAAATGTTTTAACAGTATCATTTTTAGCTGTTCAAGATCTCAAAGTTAAAATGCTAATTATCTACTCATCCTTATCTGAACTCTAAAACGCTTTTAAGTTCATCTTTTAATACTAAAAATGTTTAGGGGACAGATTTTAGCGGAGTACTGCATGTAAAGCGCGTTCTTCATTGTAGAATTTTCCTGAAAAACTAAATTATATACTAATTGTTTACTCATTTATGTACCTTCAACATTCACTTCATTCATGTACGCTTAAATAAAACACTTTTTCACGTCTTTTGAAAGCTTCATCACCTGGACACTGTATGGCGTTTTTAGTGGGCTAGTGATGCTTTAGATATACTGAAACATATGCATCTTAAATCTAGTTCAGTGCTAGTCTTATGTACCTGAAATCCGCAACAGTAACCGTGGGTCGGTGGCACAGTGGTTAGGACTCTCGCTGACCATGCACATGGTCCGGGGTTCGAGCCCTCGCCGACGCAGACATGATATCTATGGTCGGCCTGCGAAATTTAGGCTACCGATATCTACGCTGAAAACTCCATACTTGTACAAAAAGTACGGTGTGGGGGTTAAGCTGTAATCCAAAAAAATAAATAAATAAAGTCAAATACCACTTTATATACTTTTCTTTTAAATGATTTTAAGTAAAGTTAGCATCTTGTTGGATGAAATTTAAAATTATTGTAATGAAGTTAGTTGATTACAAAATCAGAAAGTTTCATGATTTTTATACTGACTTTGGCAACAAATGAGTGTAGGAGTGCTGTTGAATATTTTGATAAGTCACAAACGCATTAGTAAATTTAAAAAATACTGTGTATCTCTGAATATTATTATCCCTTACTATTACTACCACTACTTTGGCGTGTATAACTGACAAAAGTTAGCAAATGGTAAACTGATGGCATCTGTGGCAAAAATCTTTATAAGCAGAGTAATGAACTGACCGGCAAAGAGGGGAAGTGAAGATCATTTTGAGTAAATATGGAGACAATGAAAGGAAAATAAAAGAATATGAATATGACTAACTTGTGTACTATTGAAACGACAGAAGACAAGAGCCAGGCAACATATCGTTTATTGAGGAAATCAACACATATTTATAGATTTTCAAGTACACATTATAGATTATTGTTAGCAGAAAAGTACAGTCTTTTGATTGGTTGTTTCTCAAAGGAAGTTAACCTTGCATCTCTTTGTGGCTGTTTCTTGAATGTCAGATCATCTATATGTTAACTGTATCCGCCTACCCAAGCCTTTGTTCTCATTTTTCTCACGACCAATATTGGTGACACAAACATTGAAGTAAATTACTGTCCACCAATTTCGGCTAACAGCCAGCTCTCACCACACTATTACTGTGCATCATTCTGCTATACATAAAGTTTTCCCGCCAAATATCACTCTGTCCTGCCATCGCGCCACCACTGCTGCTGAAGAGAAAGAGACTGGAGAAACCAGATTTAGTGATTTTCAAATACTACGAGCAGCTCTATGTTAAGGGTCCTATGTCCCTCATTGCCCATTGCGGTCCGCAATGTCCATCGGTGTCTACGCTGCAAAAAAGATGCTAGTGTAGCGGTAAATAATCCCCCAAAATTATTGACCACAGCACTCATCACTGAACATTGGATGCTGACCCTCACTGCTTAAGTTAACTTGTTTAGCCGAAGGCTTCCGGTCAAGCATCCTCGCCATCCTCCGTCGCGTCATGTTCGTACACGATCACTAGCCAGCTTAGCTTTCGCTTCAGTCCACGATTTGGTATCGAAATATACCTTAAAGTTTGGACGATCAAATACTGTCTTTTGCTTTGCCTTTGGTCCACGAGAAACGAATACTATAGAAGTTGTTGGTTTAAGATCTTGCGTTAGTATACTCCGTACAATTCACGAACGTCAATACCGTCAGCCTTAAACTGGTGAGCCCAACCGCGAACTTCGTCTTCGATAAATACGCAGATAAACCCGATGAGTTCGTTCCTTTTTGTATTTGTTCTTCTACTATATTGTAATCGGCAAACATTTCGTAATGAGTGATTCTAGTCCCAAGGTCATTCGTATTCGCTCAACTACCAAAACCATTCAGCTTGTACCATATTGGCCAGATAATACTGAAACGTGGTTTCAGATAGCTGAGTCTTATTTTTGTGAGCATGGGATAAGCGATCAGTTCCTCGCAGTTATTCACGCCCTACGGCGGGAATTCAGCAAGTGCGTAACTGTGCAGATGTCGAGTCCCGAGGCAAGTAACTCGTGCGCGTTGCTCAAATCAGAAGAAACTTTCTCACGAATTGAAAACCTCTGGATGAACTATTTCTCAACATCGAGTAACGGGAACAGTCAGCTGCAAACATGCTAACAAGAATGAGAGAGGTTATTGGCCAGCGTCAGTTTGATGAAGGACTCTTCATAGAACTTTTCTTATCCAAACTACCACAGTCAGTACAGACTGTACTTGTGACACTTCAGGGTGTTCTTATGGATGAATTAGCTGTTTTTGCAGATAAAATTCTAGAAATAATTAAACGGCAGTTACTGAAATATGCTTGATGGCCAAACAAACTTCGAGTAAGGACACTGAAGCGATAGAGTTATGCAACTTCATCCAGCAGATGCTTAGGTCAAACATGCCTTGTGATTCCTCTTACCATCGTCCGAACTCCCCTCAACGGCGAAACCCACGTGGTCGATCTAATTCCAGGCCACGTTCACTGAAAAACCAGACTGGTGCTGGTATAACAACACCTATGGCCAGGAAGCGAAATGTTGCCGAAAACCTTTCAATTTTGGCAATGTCCCGAAGTCTGTGGGAAACTGTCCCGCCAGCACGCGTTAGCGGCACTCGTCGCCAGTGGTACTAGCCACCTAATTTACATTCGCGATGTGAAACTCTATAAAAATAGATTACAAGATATTGGTTTAAGTCTAAATTATACTCTATAACATATTTATAGTCAGTCAACTTCATGCGGGAATTACGAAAGGTTGCGTTAATGGAAGGTAAGAAGAGAGGTTATACACAGGTGCTAGAGTAAGACATGTGATGCAGACCTTGTGATCATTATCATTTTATCAACTAATAAGGCTTCGAAAATTCCTAAAACTTTACAGCAGAGGGTAGGTACAGCATTATTTTGGTATTAGCAGATACAAGGGACCAACTTTGCGATGATAAACAGAATTCAGAATGGGATTTGTTCCGTTGTTCATCGTATGTGCCAACTATATTCTGAATAACGCTCAAGTAATACAAACGTAGAAAGCAGCATTACTGTTCATTTGTAGTGCATCAGTGCAATACCTTCGAGAAGACAAGAAAGAAGAAAACAGAAAGAGAGGTGCGGAGGCAGCCAGCAAACAATAATAATTTCAGCAAACAATATGCGATAACCGCAAGATTTCCCCTTTTTTATTACTAAGAATTTATAGTCATTAAGTTTTGTAGTGTTACATACTAACGGTTAGTTCAAAATTTATGATAGTAAACAACAAAAAAATAGAATAACAATATTCAAATAAAAAATTAGGGCGAAACGAACGATGATGATTTTCACACTTATATACGGTAATGCTGGGAATAGAAACTGAAGAAGTTAAATCCAAATGCCAAAGCACACAAAATATGTAGAATAAGAGAGGAAGTATACTAATACTTATTTATGCTGTTGTTCTGATTTATACAGTTAGATATCCTCCTGAAGTAGAGAAATCGTACCATGAGCTTGTTTTCAAAGAGCTTATACATTCTGTGGCATACAGACAGATTTCGTTTTTCTTTTTGTTGAAGTTATTCAAACTCAGGAGCCCTAGCAATAGAGCGTATTCCCACAGATATGGGTGGTTCTCTTAAGTCCCCAGCGTCATATCCGCTGAATAGCAGTCACCACCCTCCCACCTATTAATCTGATAGGCCCTGGAGAAATACTTCTTCCGGTTTTAGAAAACATCGTTCTTTTTACTGTTATGTGTCACATAGACAGTTTTTGCATTCACTAGCTAACTCAACGAAACTCATGGTGTGAACGACTACTTTCAGCCAGCCATTTTGTATGTATCATCCCTAACAGCATTTTAAAGAGATACATGTACAATAAAAAGTAAGGAAATCAGAGATTTGCAGTCTACATTCTAGATTTTAGACATAAAGATATGAAACCAAGGAGCAATGTGAAATGGCACGAGAGAAGAATACATGAAGATGCGTAGTTATGTATATATATGCATAGAAAGAGATAGTTAATCATAATAGATGGTTCAGAAGAATTCGACTACAGAGGATTATAACAACAGAACAGTAAAATAAAATCCGTTAATATTTGGGACTCACAGTGCAGTTAAGCAGATTTTTTAGATGACCCCGCATAGGACTGAAATTTGCGAAGACGTAAATGGTATTTACTCAAAATATTAGTTAGTCACCAGAGGAGATTTTAGTATCGGCTATATCCAGGTTGTTTACTACTCAACCTTGAGGCAGAAATCCTATCACATTCTAATGCCCAAAATAAAGTTTTTCCAGGGATATTCGTTATAATATCTGATTAATTTGGCAGTTTGCAGCTGGTGTTGAATGACTGAAAAGGTATGACATGAGGAGGGAGAGTGGTTCATGTGGATTCATGGTGAGTATGTCAGGCTGTGTATTCCACTCCAGGTTTGTATGAAAGGATCGCGGATATTTTGTGATGAATAATTGAATCAACTAAAAAAAGGAACTAAGAACAGCATTAGCGCAACGTTGATTATTTTAAATATCTCTAATAATACTGACCATTTCTGTTAATGGGTTGAGTGAACAGAGTTGTTTAGGTAGGTAAGTCAAAGAAGAAAGAAACAATATCACGAATTTCAGTATAGGGCAAACTGTGTCGAGACTGTTTTCAGACAAATATTTATTTAGAAGATAGCTGAAGTGTTGTATTGTGGTGCCGTTTTTGATTTCACTTGGTAAGAAGTGCCATATTTGCCTATATTTGACTGTAGAGAAGTTGGAATGAGATTTCGCCGGACAAAGAACAAGACTTAGAGAAGAGCTGTGTAGTAATTTATTGTACTTGAAATATTAATATACCGGGATGACGGAATTATAGGAATCTAATCAAAACCCAGAGAGGGCAGCAATCCGGAATTTGTATTTAGCGGAATTAGAATGCAATTCATATAAGAAACATATCAACAGTCAACAGTAAGTATTTAAACAATACAGAGATAGAAATTGTCAATCACCACATCCGCCACACCTCGAATATCTCCTCGCGTATTTATAACGATGTCTCGGTTTGCTTGCAAGTAGCTTCGAGCTAACTGATTCTGTGATATTATTTTC